GGGGTGTTACTTTCATGTACTAATTTCATGACAGAAGGAAAGTGTGAAATCATTTGTCCCAGACGGGGCTCCAGCTTCTTTGTCTGTAAGTTCCTGTTAATCATCTCCACCACTGGGAATAAAAATCCCCCAAACTGCAGTCAAACTGTTTAACACCTGTGTGCTCATTTAAAAATCAGCACTTTGTGGGTTTTTTTCTCTTTGAGCTCATTTTATGGAAGAAAAGAAAAGTAAAGAGCTTCATATGCTGCGCTGTGTGTGTAGTTAGCTGTGAGGCCCAGCAGGGGGCAGCAGGAGCTTCACTCTGCAGCTCCACTATGTGTGTTTAAACAGTCAGACACAAAGTGAGGGCGCTGTGAAGGAGGAAAAATGGCCGACAGGTTCACCTGCTCAGGTGACACACGAGCGCCACCGCAGCACGCACAGGTGAGTTTGAGTGAACAAAATGTAACGACTCACTCTCTGTCGATGACCAGGCAGGTGACCGGCTCCGTGGCAACCACGTTGGCTGTTCTGACATCCTCCCTGTGGACCACACACACACACACACACACACACACACACACACACACACACACGTTATGCTGAGGTAAAAGGCTGATTGCACAGCAGTGGCTCCGAGACTGCACCAGTGTAATGAAATATGAATGAAGTGCTGTTTTCCTGTACGAGCACTGCTTTCATTTCGACTCACAGATCCTTTAGAGGCATCTGTCATGGAGGAGACCTCGCTCTGCTCCCAGGTTTGTCGGACGGTGGGAATCGTGAAAGCGTGACACCTCAAGGCTCGAGGCTAACGAGGGGGAAACGGATGGATCGGTCATGCAGAGCAGACCCTGACAGACCGAGTAAGAAGCTTTTATCGCGGCTCGGGCTGCTTCATACTGCTGCTGGACTCCTGACTGCAGCTCACACTTTAACAGCCTTCCCTCACGTTCAGCAGCTGGAGGGGCTTCCCCCTGAACATCCATCAGGCCAGACAGCTTCATGTCCTGCTGCTCACTGAGGTCAGTCGACCGGCAGGTGCTGGTGCTTCCTGATTGGTTCTGGGATGGCCGCCCGCTCCCTAACAGGGTTCAGGTCAAGAAGGAAAACACACCTGTTCTTGTTCATGTTTCACTTGAGCTTCAAGTTTGGTTCACGTGTTAATTTGGAAACAAACTCAGAAACCAAACCATTGTTTTCCTGCTCACTGAACATCTGAACACCTTCAGCTCACCTCCATCTTTAAACCTTCCCTTTCACTCATGTTGCTCTCCCTCTGACCTCTGACACTTGTCTCCACCCACTCCACCCTGCAGCACTTCTTTGACCCCTGGTACTTAAACCCATCCAGCTCCACCACCTCTCATCTGTCTTTTTCTGAATTTTTATGAAATTTGTTGCTTGTGGAATTTTGAATTATGTCTTTCAGGGTTCAGCGTGCAGCTCAAAGACGCTTCAACCCAAAGGGAATCAAACCGACGACCTCGGGCCACAAATACCCAACAGATGAGAAAGCTTGCACCTTTAATTCTTTTGATTTTAAAAAGGTGACGCTTGCGCTGTGTTGGGTTGGTCCACATGACGGAGCGATGCTGGTGAGTCCTCTGAGGTTGAACGTGGACTTTGGCCTGCGGTGAAGCTGCAGCGTGGCCTTTGATTCAGCCTCCTGCTGTCTGAATAAATGAGTCAGTGTGAGCTCCTTCCAGCTCTTTACAGAAAAGCTCTGAGACCGAGGCGCTCACACTGATACAGACACTCGCAGATGGGCCGGTGTGTGAACGGCGCTCCGCGGGGAAACAGAGAAACACTTCAAAACAATTAGCAGCAGCTGCGATGATGGCAGGAGGTTAGCAAAGCGCACACATGTTCCGACTTCACATGTGCGGACTCCGACACGCCTCATCTCGCTCCACCTCGAAGCTTCTGAGCCGCCAACGCCAGATTCTCCTCCAGGTGTTTTAGCTGAGATGAAATCTATTTGGACAGGACGTCCACATGCTGTAGCCGGTCCTCACAAAGATGGGAAACAAGCGTCCCATTAAAGTGCTCCCGGTGACCTCATTTCCTGTCAAACTCACTCAGAGACGGCGTTATGAGGAGCTGAAGTATGTCCACCCTGAATGACCTTTCACCTGTATACCTACAGGATGTGTGTGTGTGTGTGTGTGTGTGTGCAGCCCACAGAATCCTAAACATGTTGGTGACATCATCATCCTCCCTGCAGCGCCACCATCTGGACACTGGTTCTGCTCCTTCCCACCTCCCATCTCACGTCACCCTCAGTCTAAAACCAAACGTTTTAGCCCCTCCCCCCTTTTCTGACTGGCTGCCCCTGACAAACAGAAGGTTTGATGAACTGTCAAAAACATTTTCTTTTGTCTGTGTGAGCTGACATCTTTCAGGGCCGTCAGAGTGAACTGAGCCGCACCTTCTGTTCTTCAGAGCGAATTTTAAACCAGCCTAATGTATCACGTGACCTTACCCCTGTAGTGCTCTCTCTCCAAACCAGTCTCCCTTGACGAGCTCCCTGAGGTGTACAGGCTGCTGGGTGGCTGAATCCCCCTGGGTCACATTGACCTGTGAGGATGTATTGGATGAGGATGAGCGGGCAGATCAGTCACTAGGAAACGAATGAGAGGAAGACGAAGAGGAGGATGGACTGACCTTCCCTTTGCTGATGATGAAGAAGGTGTCTCCTCGGGCTCCCTGTCTGATGATGTACTCTCCATCCGAATAATGAGTCTAAACCCAGAAGACAGCGTCTGATTGAAGTATTTACAGGCCCACTCCCACAGAAGAAGACAAGGGGGCGGGTACAAACTCACCTCCTCCATGACATCCGCCAGTTTGCTGAGAGTTTCCTCAGGAAGACTCTGGAAGGTGGGAACGCTGCAGACACAGACAGGAATGATTCAAACTCAAAAGTTGGAGTTTGTTGTGAAAAGATAATAAATACGAGATGAATGGAGCCATGTTCCTCATCTGAGCTCCTCCTGCAGTCACGGAGTCTGTTTGTCTGACAAGAGGACCAATAATGCAACTCTGAGTAACCACTGTGGAGGGACGGTGAGTATTTGTGACATATACAAAAAGCACAGACTTTTAATCTTCAGCTGAGCTTCTGATCGCTCCGCTGATTCAAACAAACCGCTACAAAAATACTTAAAGTCTGTAAAACAGAAGAGCCGACGACAGCGAAGACGAGAATATGATCACGTTATGAGACTCTTTCTATTTCTCACTGATGTTATAGTATATATTTATATTATCACATTTATATTATTCATAATGTGAATATTATTACAACCTGAATTGTTCTGGTAAATACATCAACATATTTATTCCATTTTAGTTTTGAAATGTTCTAACTCTCATTTATAATGAATGAATGTATTTCTCACAGGAAACTGGACTCTTGGTGTCCTTCCTTAAGACACATCTGTGGACAGCTGTGTTGAAGTTTACCTACATGTGCTTTACTTTCACTGACTAACAGACTAATAAATAATAAATACAATTAATAAACAAAAGAAGCTTTATAAGCCTGAGAAGGTTTCTGGGTTTACTTGTAAAACTTTTCCTAAACTCTGGCATTGTTGACTCTGTCATCGACTTTTAATGGCAGTTTCTCACCTCTTCAGGAAGTCCATGTACTCGGCGTGTTTGATGAGTCCGGTTCTCATCATGATGGTCTGGAAGCACTGCCGGTCGATGGCCCACAGCTTCACATGGGTCAGAGCTACAAAACACACATTTAGCATCATGAGCGCATCGACAGCTCCGCGTCACTTTGACTCAGTTAAAGGAAACATCCTGAAAGGATGCAGAGGGAAGGATCTGTGGCTGCTGTGGAAACACACACTCCAGTGTGTACAGCCAGTGATGGTGTGTGTGGTCTGAAAATGACACACACACATGTGATGAAAGTTTTGTGTCAAACAGTCTGCACAGAAATTTCTTCATAAGAATTTTCTTCCAGAAATCCCTGAGGCAAAGTTGTTGCTTAGTAACATGAACCATTACAGCTGCTTAAAGTCCAGCTTGTTAACAGCAGCACGAGCATTAACAGCAGCGTGCGCATTAATAGCAGGTGGCTGTTAACAGTGGCGCGCTCATCTACAGTGAAGCGCACATTAGCAGTGGTGTGCTTGTTAACAGTGGCTTGTGCATTACCAGCGCTGTGCATGCTCAGTTACAGCGCCATGCTTGTTAACGGGAGCACGCTCATTAATAGCAGCGTGCTTGTTAGCAGCGGCGTGCTCATTAACAGCGGCGTGCTCGTTAGCAGCAGCGTGCTCGTTAACAGTGGCGTGCTCGTTAACAGCGGCGTGCTCGTTAGCAGCAGCGTGCTCGTTAGCAGCAGCGTGCTCGTTAACAGCGGCGCGCTTCATTTGGTTAACAGATTTCAGCTCTTTAAAAGTCACATCTCTGACTCATGTTTTAACAAGAAGTCTTTGAGCTCATTAAACACAGTTTGTCTGCTCGTTACCAGCAGAGCATTTCAGAGTGCATCTCACGTCCTCGACTCCAATTAGTCGTGATTCGATCCATTAATACTGAATATCTAATAGATCTAATGCAGCCTGAAGGAAGTGTTTGTGCCAGAGATGCTCGGTGCTGATAGTAAAAACGATTACACCTGGAGACGACGACAAACGGCTCATAAATGTGATGCCGTTTATTTTTCAGGGACTGCTGGATCAGATGGACTTATGCTCATTATAAAGGTTTACTCTGAGTTACAGAGAGCAGAGGACAATACCAGAGAGAGCACAGTCATTTCAAACAGACCAATCACTGTGTAGGACTGGGTCCTTTTTCTCTGGAGTCTCAGATCTGCGTGCTGACATCAAGATGACGCAGGTTTGATTCCCCAGACAGTCGTAATGTTGAGCCAATGAGAGGAGGACAGAAATGAGGCAGTAAACGATACTCTGATATCAGAATTAAATCAAACTTCAGAAAGAGAGGAACCCGCTGGCTGTGATCAGTGTCTGAACGAGGACCAGGAGCTGCCAGGTTTTACTACCTCTGCACACAGCTCACGCACCTGATCTGGTGTATTTGGCGCATTTGGTACGTGGTGGTGGGTCGGTATGAGTGTTCAGGTTCAGGTTACTTTAGGGGTCGTGGGAGCTCATGCTGTCAGTGTGGATCAGGACGCTTTCAACATGTAATCTGTTAGCCATCCCATAAACTCCAGCACTGATGCTGAGACTGAGGCGGTTGCCATGGGTACAAGTCATCCACCCGAAGTTGCTGGCAGTTACCGTGGCGATGCAGAGACTTGCTCAAACTTCCTTCAGTTTAATGAGCGGAGGTGTGAGGAAACACGAGCACACATGGATGGATTTTCTGTATACAGAAAAGTCTCACTCTTACTCCCACACTACTCCGCTCTGCTTTCCACCTTTAAATACTATCTTTCTGAGACTAACAGATAAATTATATATTTAAATAGTAAACATACAATCTTTGTTTCTGTAATTTTGTAATTAATAGTCTAATCGTTTACATGGTTTCTGGAATTAAGAAACTTTAGCTTTGTGGCTCCTGGACGCTCTGTTACCACAGTGACCTCACAGCAGCCATATTATTGGTCACATGATGTCATTAAAAATGCTCCAAAAGTCTCCAGCAGCACAAACACGGTCCAGAGGTCCAGTGCAGCCCAGCAGACAGCTAGCTGCTACAGCCACCTGTATCACCTGTCAATCAAAGAGGCCACGCCCCTTAAAAAGCAGACAGCTGAGTTAAAAAAAATCAGGTGTTATAAAGGATTAAATGATCCATAGAGACCAAACATTTTGTGCATCAGGCTGTAAACAGGTTTATTTTAACATGGGACTCCACTGACTCACTGCTGCCCCTGCTGGATGTCAGCGGAACTGCAGGTTGTGTTGCTTCAGCGCTGACTTCATGTTTCAGCTGCAGAACCTGTAACTCAGACTGATGATGACTCTGATCTGGTGCATTACACCACATTACCTTCTCTGTGGTGGTGTCTCAGTTGCTGTTTGGCCATTACTCTTTATTACTTTTTCCACTGCTTTATGACCTGCTGCCTGTTGCTATGGAGATACCAAGTGTTTCTGTAACCACGGAAACAACGGGAGACCCTCAGAGCGGCAGATACAACGGTCTGAGCAGAGTTTACAGTGCGAGTGTGATTCAGGGGAGCGGACGGACCGTTATTAACATCTATTTATAACTAACCAGAGTGAACATCAGACTCTCTACAGTGCGTGTGCTGTAAAGGTCAAAGGTCACAGTTATTCATATTCAGAAGCACCTTCAGTCAGGTCAGAACCACAAACAGCTACAGAAACACTCTCAGGCTGTTTGTTCTCAAAGGGCCGGAGTCTCAATGTGATTCCAGTGTTTACGCCACACCGTCGGCTCCAGACCACAGCTGGAAGTTTGTCGTGCTGTAAAAACTCTGTGGAGCGTTCAGCGTGTGCTGTCTGCAGGGAGAGGAAGTCTGAACATCAACCCCAACTCTGACAGCAGCGTGAGTGTGAGTGTG